CATGAGTGAATTGTTACCTTCTTCTCAACAAATAAAGATAAATACCTGCAAATCTTGGCTTACAAAGCTTGGCTTCCATTAAAATATAATTACCTCCCTTTTGTGCCTTATACATTAAGAGTGACTTCAAATGGTACGTGGCTCTGGTTCAACATAATTTCCTTTGCTGCTTGCATAGTAAGAATGAGGCTCCAGAATAAAGATGACTATTTAAAGAGGGCTGCTGCCATTCCAAATTACATAAAGTTCTACTTAACAAATTGATTTGTTTACTCAGTAAGATCCTCACTGGAACTTTTGTTACTGGTCATCATTGGGTCCAGTGCTAATCTATGACCACACATCTTTCAATCCTGTGAATAACTCCTAGTCATACAACTATTTATGGGGCTTTCAGGTGATCAATGATTAAATGATCCAGTACATGCGCATTGACACAGTTCGCTCTTGCAGGGATATTTGTACAACACAATGTGGGTGTTTTTTATCTTGCTGAAAGTGCTCTGGGTTCCAGGGGGTAGCAGAATGGCTGTGCAGTGCTTGGTTGCTAAACCCTGCAGGGACTGCTAGGTATTCTGAACTTGCTCTTTGTGTGTGCCCTGGTCTGGGATCCTGGCATCCATACAAGCAAGAGCGCCATCTGGCAGCCTCCCACCGAGGGATAAGAGGGAAGGAGGAAAGTAAAACAGGCACGAAAATTGAGGACTGTTTTTTTGTCCTCATTAATACTCTGGATCATACATAGCTCACTCTTCCCGTACTGCAAGGATGCACAGGGATGGTAAAGATAAGTATTTCCTTGACAAGAAGAAAGCCAGAGAGAAGTAGCTCCTGCTACAGCTTTCCTCAGTGTGGCTGTGTGCTGAGCCATGGCGGAGGTGGCAGTTTGGCTGGGGCACTAACACACGGTGCACTCAGAGCAGTAGGGAAGCAGCTACTCTCCCATCCATTCCTTCCACTGCACAGCCTGCTCGCCTCAAGTTTTGAGAAACGACGAGAGATAGCACCCACTCCGAACGCAGGGCTGACCCTGGTATTGGTTTCTGTAGGAGAAGTACCTTTGATAAGGCATTTAATATGTTTAAATTAATGTGTTTACCTGTAAATATCAAATGTATTTACATACCTTTCATAAAGTTTTATATTGAGATGTTCCAGTCTGTGGCCCGTGAGCCAGATGTGGCCTGTAGCATAATCCTGTCACAATTAGACAGTTAGCCCATCGGAGTCCCTGAAATGGCCGGTCTGCTCTTCCAGAATTCTGGGTTATCATCCTGCTTTTTGTTTTGCTCCCTCCTCTCTGGATCTTGAACTCTGCTATAGGTAGCTCATAAAGATACCTCCAACTGGTGTCTGGTTCAACACTAAAAAGACTGGTCTACCTAGCTTTAGAGCAAATGCTGCAGTGAGTAGATTGAGATTAAAATTCTGTGTGGACTGGTGTTAACCTGAATTTCAATGGGTCAAGTCGTTTCATCATAGTGGTTCTCAATCTTATTGGTAGTACTTGTCTGCAGCAAACACCTTTCCTGTAGCCAGTGCACAGCTGATGCACAAATTCATGGCTCTGTCTTTGCAAATATTGCATTAATCAGGTACGTGAGGTGAAGGAGGTTGCTGCTGACCCAAAGTGCTTGCCGATGGCAGCGTTCTGCTCAGGGTAATCCCTGTTCACTGGTCAGCTTTTCTTACTTCCTTCTGGCTCCACAGTGAGAATTGCCAAGATCAAGCTGCTTTGCAGTGCCAGTGACATGTGGAAAGCAGCACAGTGGCTTCCCCATCATCAAAGACTGTTTCAGTGGGCACTGCTTGATGAGTTACAGGAATTTCTGATGGGAGGCTTAGACCAGATTAAAAGGCCTGGTAGGAAGTTGCTGAGCAAAGGTCTGTGCTAAACTGAATTGAATTTTGATAATCTTTAGATATGGAATGGGAATCTGAATGGTATTATTGAATCCAGGGAATTTTCCCTTCACTTAAATGGTAGATGGCTACAGCTGGTGCTGGGTAATGGAACTGCTGAGATTTCAAGTAACTGGCATTGTACTCTCAACTGGTCAGGGCTTTCGAGCATGGTGTCAGTGCTGGCACTGCTGGCATGGGGTGACCTTTCAGTCAAGCCTGGTTACTCTGGGAAGGGGAGCATTGGCAAACCAAGTGATCAGGGTGACATGGGTCCCAGTGTGTCTGCGTAAACTGACCTGGTATCATGTCGTAAAAGTTGAAATAGTAGTGTAGGGTGAACAGAGGTGAGGACAATAGAAGCCTGAATGACACAGAGGCAAAGAGTAGGTCTGAGCAATGAGGAAGCATGAACAAAGTACATCCTAAAGCAACTTTACACTTTGTTAGCATGGACATACTGTAGTCTGTAGCCTGACCATAGTCAAAGCAGGTGGAGGGTAGCTGTCAACAGACTTGTGCATGAGAGTATGAACTGCAACATTTTAATGGGTGAGTACCTGGTTATTGGTGACTGTGGTAGGATTTTTAACAAAGCATAAGGACTGGGAAATATTTGAGCAGTCTTTTTTTTTTTTCCTTTTTTATAATGCCACACTCTGGGTGTACATGTCATTTCATGGAGCAAATGTGCTTTGCATAAATACTGCTTACCTATCTGAAAGATTAAGCTGTGGTGGTGTACCTTTAATTGGAGAGGAATTACGTCTCACACATGAGGGTTTTACTCTGCTGAGGCATGAAGCAAAAACACTTGTCTTTGCATGTAGATGGGTTTGTCAGTTTGGGTGATACGTACATTATCACAATGTAGATAACAGGGAGAAATTGAGCTGTTGCTAACAGGAGCAGGTAGAGACTCAAAGGGGACAAGTGCAAATGAATAAACAGTGGGTTGTCCAGTACGTCAAGTGAGGATGGGGACCTGATGTGATCACATGACTCCAGGCCAAAACCTTCTCCTGATGGTGACTTCACCTCTGCCATGAACTGCACACACTCTGCAGTAGAGTCCTGTTAGTGGTCTGCCCATATTCATATGTCTCATTTGTTTTTAGTAAATTTAGTTGAAGTCTGCAGAAGGTCTTTCTGCTTGTGCTGGATCTAAATAGATTTTACAGATTCAAGTGCTGGTCTGATTGATAAACTGCTATTGTTTCTTTCAGAGAATCAGGTGTTGGGGGGTGAAGAGAGTGTGAGAGCGATCGCAATCAATACAGAATATAGGAGGGTCAGTGATACAGAGGGAAAAGTAGAGGAAGTGGAGGATGTGGGTAAAAGAGGATAGGAGGGGAGATAGAAAATTTGTAGGGGGAAGAAGGCTTTAGCTTTAGATATTAACTTAATGAAAAATGACTTTTTGGGAATGACAGGTTGTAAAATAGAGCCAGATTCTGTGAATAGCTCCAGACTGCAGGCATGCCTACATGCACACACGCACACAGACACTCATACAAAGGCATGGGGAAAAAAAAAAAAAGTTCATTTTTACACACAAAAGAAGTTTACTACTTTTAAAAAATTATTATCCCTTTAAATGTTAAGCAAAGTTTCTGAGGGAAAGAGATTTTAGAGCAGATTATGTGACTAAACATGAAATAGGTCTTTTATTTTGCTTTGTCTAAATTGGAAACAATTTTTGTCTTGTTGAAAAAGATGAAAAGTGTTGTTTTGAAACGCTAATGAACAGGAAAAACAACCATCAGAGAAATGTGATAACCTAAGTTTGCCTTCTGCTAAAAGTACCCTGACCCTATCAATATCTGAAAGGTGTCAGTGTAATTTCCTTGGCTGGTGATTGATTACTTGACTGTCTGTGTTATGCAAACTGGTCAGAGAGAAAAGAATTGTATTCATAAAGAAGAGTACTACTTTAAAGGCCAAGACTTTCATTCACAGTGATATTTGTTATTTAACCTGATTTTTTTGTTGTTTGCTTGTTGGTTTTTGGTTTTGTTTGTTTTTGTTTGTTTTTTTTGGGGGGGCGGGGGAGATTGTTTTTTTCAGACGGAAGAAACAAAGGCAGGGTTCAAAGGAAGAAAGTGAAATATGGGTTAAGGCAAACATGCATCTACTTGCTTGCTTTTTTGATTCCAGGAAAGATGCTTCACAGAAACTCAGTTTCTGTCTCTCTGTAGTACCTGTTGTGCTGTGTTTTGTGCTGGTATCCATAAGGGTTTATTCACATTCCCCGTGAGAGCTATTTTATTTCCCCCATTACAAGGTGACATGTGATACAAGAGTACCTAATCCCCTTAATTCATATTAATTTTTTTATGCCCCTCTGTGAATTTCTTCCACATGTAGAAATAGCACAGTGGAAGCTGTCGCAGATGATAGTATATTCTATAAAATTTCAGTTGTACCTTCACATTACTCCCTTATTTACCCCAAATCAGTCAGAGCAGCAGATGCTCCCTAGTCTCCTCCCTGTCCTGTTGGCAGCAGCTGGCTGGACAGACCGTGCTCTAATGACTCCAGACCAGACTTCAGTTGCCTCTCAAGTGTACCTAGGTGCTTGTCCCGGACAAAGGGGAAAGGGTTGGCAGTGGAGAAGCTGAAGAAACAAGTGAGCTTTCTCACCACACTCTGGAGTTGCTCTCATATTCAGGGAAAGCCAAAGACTAACAATGAAACAGAAAGGAAGCAAGAGAGGGGTATGTGTGTGGGTAGTGTGTGCAAAGCTTTCTTCCAGCTCTCCACTGAGCCATGACCTGGTTTCTCCAGGAGCTGCCTGCTGTTTTCTTATTTTGGAAGCAAGTTCCTGAGACAATGCTTTGCATGCCAAACAGGGTCAGCTGTACAGATAGGGAAGGGTTCTGCATGGGACACGCACCCCCCTTTCCATCTTCACTATCACCTTGACCACTCCTTTTCTTTCTTCTTTTCTTTTTTCCCTTTCCTTGTTCAGAATGAGGAAACAAAATTAGTTTTTACATGCTTAGAGAAGACAAGGGGAACTTTCAGGGGTACTGGATGAAATTATATTTATTGCAGTGACTGCTAGATGCTAATCATGGTTGTTGTTATCTTGACAGAATCCAAGAAGAAGAAAAAGGAAGGCAAGAAACAAGAGAAGATGCTGGATTAATGGAGCCACCTTGGGCAATGTGAGAAAGGGACATCAGCAAACACGATCAGTTAACAGTTTCATTTATACCTAGGCATTTTATCCTAAAATTATTTATAGCTTAATGGTACCATAGAAGAAAACAAAGACAGAAAAAAAAATCCTTTTTTTATTACTTTAGTCTTTTTAATGTATAACCCTAACACCAGTTTTTAGAGGCCTGTCATAAAGGACTCCAAATTCATTTAGAAAATTATGTCTATTGTATATTGAACAGTGTAGAACTTTTTAAAAAAATTTTTTCTCAAGTCTTGCCATAGGTCTCAATCTGTTAATTACTCCATGCAAGCAGAACCTGAACCTGTGTGGAGCTCCGCTGAAGCCAGTGGTGCCCTCTGTGAACATAGGATTCTGGCTGGATGCAATTATAATTAATATTGGGACCTTATATCTGAAAAAAAACCCAGACTTGTTTCTTAAGTTCTTATTAGATTTGGATAACTATGAAATTATTTGTTTAAGGAAAGGATGGGGGCATTTTGTTGAGTATTTATGGGTGTAGAATTTTTTGGGGTGTGTGGTGACTATTCATTTCAAAATGCTACTATCTCCAGGTAAAAAACCAGAAACAGTAGCATCCTATTCTTGGCCATATTTTGCATGTTGTCAGTAAAAATTTTGAAATCTTTCAACAGTTGTATATAGAAGAGTCCTAATTTTTCACGATTTTTTAGAAATGATTTTTCCAAATGAAACAATAGCAAAACTTTCCATTTTTTAGCATATCAGTGCTGGTGGTTAGTAGTGTTCTCTGTTTTACCTATAAAAGCTGAAAAATGCTTTCTTTTATTTGTTTATTTTGCCAGAAGGGAGAATATAATTTTCACAAAAGTCTAGTTCAAATTGTTGTGATTCTGCCTGACCCAACTCCCTTTTGTATCAGTGGGAATCTTCCTGTTGATTTTTATAGCTAGTTGAAAAACAGTATGTCTGTTGGGAAGTAACAGAAGAAATCTGTTTGGAAACTGACTGACATAGTTCATATTTTTGACTAAAAAAGGGACAATTTGTGGGATGTAAATCCAATAGGGATTAAACTAATTTTTGTTTCTCTGATAATAAAGCAGAAGGGAAATACAAAACCCCAGTACCTTTTGCTTTCTTCCATTTTATATAAGCAAAAAGACCTTGGAAAAGCTCAGTCAAAATAAAAAGAGTTCTGTGATTTTTATTTTTTTTTTAATGGTCTGCAGGGAAAAATTGTAACCAGCTGGTTTTCATTTTGTTCAATTTTACCTATTTTGAATGGTAAGTCCTGAGAAAAGTCACAAAGTAGAAAAAAGATCTAACAAAGGGCTGGTCCTCAGGTAAAGGTTGTTTAATGAACTAAACAACCAGCAGACCAGACTTTTTAGAGGAGATTTCAGTGCCCAAATCAGTTTCAAAATCTTTGCGGTTAAATTCTAAATCTTAAAATTCAACAGCAAGAAATAAGCTTTGCCATTTGTGTAGGCTGCAGGCTTGCTTGCTGGTCAAGAGGAATAGTCTCCCTTGTACTGCTGTGGGTATCCACTGACTTCAGCGAAGCTGCAGCAGGGTGTGTTCAGCTGAGTAAATCACATTTCTCTCTTGGGATTACCTTGTAGACAAGCAGAGAGTCTTTTTCCAGACTAACATCACTCCCCTTTTCTATGCAAAAGATGTATAACAATTTCAGAGCTTGCCCTCTTTCTTCTCACATGGAGGGTATGACTGATCTGAACTTACAGTGAGGCAAATCCTGTAGACGTTCCCAAACCCTTTTGAAGCCAGCTAGCCAAGGCTGCACATAGCTCAAGGTAAATTAGCCACATAATTATTTCCCAGACTCCTTGGGTGTGTTTTGCAGTCTGTGTTGGTGTCCTTGTTATTCTGACTATGCTGTTATACATACCTGAGCCAGTGGTATAGTTAAAAATGTCCCCAACATGTGGTGGATGTGCAATGACCAAATCCAAAATCATAAAGGCTCATATTTGGGTGGTTCTGGGTGCTATTTGGTTTCTTCATGGTCTAATCAGGTCTACCTGTGCTTGTGCCTCAGACTTAAACTAGTGGATTGGTAGGTCTGATTGAAAGCAAAGGGAGAAAGAAGTTTTTTCACTCACCAAAGGTTTATCTGTCTAAATGCTGCATCAGTTCACTTAAAGTGGTTCAGCTTTGAGTGCAAACACTGTTGCACCATTGTCTTACACTGGTTAATCTAGTCCATGTTTCATAGGGAGATGGCAGGAGCTGGGAATGAGGCTGAGACCAACAGTTTGACTATCCTTTAGCAAACCTTAGATGTGACTTCTGATTTCCACCTCTAAGTAAGAAGAAAATAAATTCCCCTGTGTTTTCTCTGACACCTTATGGCCCTCATGATTAACTGCCCACCTAGCTTGTTAATGGAACATTCCTAATAGTTTTTGAAGGAGGCCAGTCAAGTTCTTATGGCAGTGTAGGGCCTCCATGGAGAGAGTTTACAAAAAACAAAGGAAAAAACAAAACCCCACCATGTTAAGAACGGAAGAAAACGCATCAGTCCTTGTAGTAGAGGGCGTGAAATAGGAGTTCCTGTGTACTACTCAGCCTCATATGTTTGGCTCAATATTGGCATTTGATTGTTGAACGTAATTGGACTTGTATCTGTCGTAGTTTATAAACAATGAAGAAAAATTCCAAGAAGCTAGCAGAAAACATTCTGTGGAAACTCTGGCTGTGAAGGACATGATAAAAGTAATTCATGGCAGAACACAGAGGAAGATTGAATAGGTCAGTCAGGTCAGCTCTGAAAGTAGGTACCTGGTACCTAATAGGAGCAGTTGCTTCACTAGTGACATTATCAATAAAGCAAGAGGCAAGTATCTGAACAAAACCTTTTCCCACTTTATCTTGCTCAGTTTCCACTTGAGTCATTTTGAAATTTCTTCTTAATTGCTCTCTGATCTTCTACCCTCCCTTCTTTGGGAGGGCAAGCTTGTCTGACAGTGCCGTGGGGGCGGCTACTTCAGATGAAATACATGTTTTGCCCTCTTGGTGCTATCCTGTTACAGTTGAAAATGAATTAGTGTAGATGTGTTGCTTAGCTAGTTTAACTGACTGAAACTTGTTTCATGAATGTCCTTCTCAAGAAGTGGCTTCCATCTTCATTTGCTACAGCTATAATATGGTGTAATATGATAGAAACCCCCCAAATGACAGCCTTTTTCTGAGCAAAAGGGAGGGGTGAGTTGCTGAACATCAGCTAAGATCTGAATCTGCATCCAGACTCTGGATTCTAGCAAGTTTAAACTTAGGGGAATTTGGGTACAGCTCACTTCCCTTCCTCTAAGTAGACTGAGCCATGCTTCTAAGCAATTAGGTTTCTCTATACCTTGATTCAAAACAATATTTGAGGATTGGGGCATTTTCTGACTTTGACATGTTTCCTGACAGAAGTGCCCATATTGAAAGAGAATCATTGCTTGTCAGCCTGGCATATTTAACAGATTATTAAGCACAGCGGAGCTATAGGGCAAGGCTCCAGAAAGGGAAACATTTATTGTACATGCAGGTAGATACTAAGTTGTAACTTACTACTTCTTATGTTCTAATCGCATAATGACTTTCTGGACTGTACTGTTTTTCAAAGGAGAAAAATTAGAAGAAATGAAAGAATAATGATTATAAAACGTATCAACAGTGTTGGAGACTTTGTCAAGAAGAGACAGATACAAAGTCAGGAGTATTTTATACAAACTTCTTTTGCATCCTCCTGGAGTAGGGAAGGTAGGATTATTGGTTGGCACGTTTGTTTTTGTCCTGTGCTTGACTTATGCCTTAATAAAAACTAACCACATGTAGAATGTTACAGAGAAGGAAAGTCCCACTCCAACCTCAAAAGAACATGTCCAACGGGAGGCAATATTAAAAGGAGATGATATGACTGTCTTTTCTGGTTTAGGAGTCCAAGTTATGGTGATGTTGATAGGAGAAAACATAACATATTTCTTTAGCTTTAGTGTATATCCTTCAACTCTTGACATGTGGCAATGTACAGTTCAAATAAAACACGGGACCATTAGGATGAAATAAGGGGAACTGAATACTTAGGGAGACTGTTTATGGAAACAGGCCTATAAAACTCCTGCTAGCAGGGAGCATCTGAACATAAACACTGTGTAGCATTCCCATTTATTTAGTGGAATCCCTTAACATATGATGAGTTTCATCTGAGTTTCCTTAGTCTAATGTCAATGATGAGGGTGGGACAAAAGCCAGCCTGACTTCCCTTCAGTCTAGAAGCGACACCTACATTAACAATATAAACCTGCCACTTTTCTAAAGCAAAATACGGGTAAGGTACACCATTTTGACATGACAAAGTAGTCTTTCACATCTCCCAAATTCATACAGGATGAAGAAGCAGCATGTCAATGGGAGTAGGTATCTCATATTCAGTCTTTTCAAATTCTCTACGACAGCATCTTCTGTGAACTTCTGACTGTGTTCTCTCCTTTTTTGGGACAGATTATACCTGTTGTCTGTCTTCCCACACTCATCCCTAATTTTGATAGCATTTGTAGGGTTTCTGTCAATTTTGCTAAGGCACTCTAGCTGTCAGCCAAACTTCTGTGAATATTGTTGATGCTTCCTCACGCTTAAGGATGTATTCTCCATTTCTTGCTGGAATGTTCCAAAACAGCCCCAGCAAGCCCCTTCATTGGATACCTCTCATTCTGTCTTTTTAAGATTAAAAGACATGGTAGCAATTTGTTAATCAGATTACAATGAACAAGGAGATATAAGAACAAGCAAAGAGATTCCCTAGATTCATTGGCAGGGTGGCTTCCTGGTAAAACCTTTGTCATAGCTCAATCTGCCTGAGGCTTTCTAGGGGACAGGAATGCATGACATTTGATGGAAAATTAGAGATGATGAAAGAGTGTTTGCCCTCAAACAGAAAAATAGTTTAGCTAGGTAAACAGTGGCAAGAAGCTGCATCCTTTCCCCCTGTGTCCTCTTGACCATCAAATTAAAGGGAAGAGATGTGGTGCATAAAGCTTCAGGAATATTGGAAGACTTGCCTGAGCAAACTAGAGCATGGAGAGAACCTCTTTCACCCCATGGAAGTTTGCATTTCAAGAAGGCCTAGTTAGTCTTGTTCATAGCAGCAGAACACTCTGTGTGCTTTTGGATCAAAACTAAATGATCCTGAAGTCTACTCATTATCCTAATGTTCCTTTTCTGCTACTCTTCAAAACTGACAGTCTGCCTTCTAGCCTGATCACTCTGACCTGAGCAGAAATGAGATATTTCAAGGAAAACATAAGAATTCAGATATATTCAACTGTTGTTATCTCATTTTGCCCTTTCTGCAGTTTGCTGGTTAAATGTGGGGTGTTTTGGGGTCCCAGATGGCTGAAAACTCAGTAGGTATCTCCTAGCCTCTAAATATCTTGGCTTTGAGTGGGTTGCCTATGAAAAAAACTATACCTACAGTTCTTATTCCTTTCTTAGAAAAACCCACAGTAACAAACAAAACCCACAACAAAACTGAGCATGTGTCCAATGTATGTATTTACTGATGAGATAAAACAGAGTCTCCCAAGTTTTCTGATTTCAGAAGGTCACTCAGTGTTAAAAGACCGCACAAAAGCTTTAGCCCTGAATTCTGTCATGTAAAGCTAGGAAAATGGATAGCCTCTGCAGGGCTGTCTTACCCATAGACAATTTAACTCAATTAATTATAGTGTTTAAATTCCCTCACTCTAATCTACCTGGCAAGAAGACATTATTTAACTTTTCTCATTAGGTCATTCATTACACTTCCCATATTATAATTATGTAGGTCATCCAAATTTTTACAGCTCAAGGAAAAGACTCTGATAATCAAGTGTGTTGTGGTTGCTGAGGGGACCTGAAGCAGAGGCAGGCCAGTGCTGCTGCAGCTTGGATCTAGAAACCACCTAATGAGGATGTCATCATCAGACACAGCAGCTCTCTAAATACACATGCGTACATACTGCGTATATATATCCATACACAGGGAAGCAAAACTCTACAAAAAAAGCGCATTGATAACTCAAAATGTGTTTCACAACTAGTGCTGCCATATTTTCAAGCTGAAGTAGGAGAGAAAGCTTTTTGTCCTGTGTTGTTATTTACAAAAGTGGTATATAGGATGAAGGGCTAGGTTTCTTCACACTCAACAGCATAACAATTTAAGGATAGCTGTGTCCAAGGAAAATGCAAAACACATGCCAATGACATGGCCAACAGGACTTAGTATCAGAGTGATGCTCTCTCCTGTTGCACCAAGTACATGGAAGGTCTTTGTTCAAAGCTTCAAAGTGGACAAACTACTTCAGTTGGGTGTGAACATAGAAACCAAGGCAGAAAAAGGCTTTTTATCTGCCAATAAAAAGTGAGGGAAATGAGAAAAAAAAGATGGAAAAAACAAAGTAAAAGAGAAATTATCTTAATGCTTGTAGTTTGGGTGTTAAACAGAAAGAAGGACTGAAAGTCAAAATAAGAAATTAAAGCCTGAATATCATGTTCAATGGATTTCTAATTCTGTATATATCTATTAAACCAGTGCTATATGATATCTTCTCATGGGTTACTCTTTTTCCTGTTCTTTTTCCTTTTTTTTTTTTTTTTTTTCAGTTTGTATATTGATTTTGTAAGCTAGCAGTGTGTTACTCAAGATTTTTTTAAACTTGTATGAAAGCCATATATCCATATTGTAGAATGAAAGCATTAATCCTGTAACATCCCTTAATGTTTCCATTAGCTCTGTGGGATTGTGGGAGACTCTAGCGAATGTATATGTTTACCAATTGTATCAACATAATTTACTTGCTCTTAGTGGCGATAAAGAATTAAATAAACTAATACACAGAAGTGTGGTGTTTTCATTTGGTTATGGAAACTGTAGGGAACTTCCAAAGTTTTTTTAATTGATGCCAAGTATTCTTACTGATCTTTATTGTACTAATTTTCCATCACCTATAGGTGTTGCTTGTCACAGAAACACTTTTCTTTGTAAATTCAGTAGAAAAGAATTCTACCAGAAAATTATTCTAGCAGAAAACAGCTCTTTGATTTGTGCATACTGAAGTCTGTCTGCCCCAATTCCTGACACTTATCAGTTCTGTAAAGTAGCTTGTTTCAGTATACAGTTATTTCAACCTGTATACTATTGACACAATGATGGGTTACAGATGAGAGTTTGACTTTTTTTTTTTTTTTTTAAAATTATCAGCTAAGCAGTGGGAAAACCTTATTCCCAGCCCTGTCATGCTCAGCTGTTTTACTTTAACAGTGACTTTATTGGGTGTGTGTTCAGTGAGAAGAGGATTAAGCCTCAAAAGTAGAGCAAAGAATTATTACATTAATGATCTAAATAGAATTATGCAGAAATTCAGGTAATGCTTATTATATGTTAATGTCTTGTCCTTTCTTTTTGTTCATTCATTATCCTTTTTTCCTAAATCTACTTTATTTTCCAAATACTTTTCCTGGTTTTGTTTCTGTGTCCAACTATTAGTTAAAGTGTTAGAATAATTAAGTACTCCATACAAGTCATTCCATCACTCATTGCCAAAAGAAAGAGATGCTTCATACTGTTTACAAGACTAGGAGATTTATACAGTCTTCTGAAATTGTTTGGAATAAAGTGAAGTATTTTAAGTTATGAAAACTGACAGTGAATTCTTCAAACCACTAATGGACTCAGCAACCTAAATCCTATCCTTGGAAAGGAGACCAAGTATTCACTATTATTTAATTACAAAAGAAAACATTTAGTTATTCTTTAAAATGCTACTTAGCAGTGAGTTACATTTTTAGGTTACTGAGTAATGAGAGAGTTTTAAGATGCTCTTGTTCTTCCATGGGAGATATCTGATCTTGTCAGTAAGCCTGAGCTGCTTGTGGATTGTTTCAAGTCATGCTTAGTTTCCCAGAGCTCCATCACGTAGGGCACACAGGTCTCTGATTTCTTCTGTTCTTCCCACCTCTGTCCCCAAATGCTGACTAAGCTATAAACAGGTCTGGCAAAGAGCTTTTAGATCAGCTCTTTTCTAGTGGGTTAACTTCATGGAATAGGGTCTTAGAAGACCACCCCTGTCTTCATGTATCCTTTTTTGTTATATATGGAGTACCTGAATGGAGAAGACTTCGTGCAGAAGAGACCCAAGTTCTGCTACCAATCTGTCCTCCAAATTTCTGGGAGTGGTGGTTCATTAAGTGGGTCTATGGATGCAGAGAGGCCCACCAGTGGTGAGTGGAATGAGATGTCCATGCAAAAGTAGCCATTAACAGTGTGAAGGCCACTTTGAAAACTCTAAGACCCCAGAGCTCAACCTATGCACTACTACAGCTGAAGTTAAAAACCTGTTCGTACTTCATCATCCCTCTGGCCTTGCACAGGATAGAATTGTAGTTAAAGACTCAATGCATGATAGTCACTCATTCACACACAGAGACACACTTGTTTCATCCATGTAGATGACAGAGGAACACTTGATTTTCACTGAGAACAGAGAATTTGCACAATCAACTGTTCATGTGCCTGAAAAAGCATTCCTACAAAGTAATAATACAACTCTTTGTCCACTGTCATCTTTTACAGTGATGTGGGAAGTCACCTTCACAGACATCATCTCTTGCTTTATCTTACTTAGCCTATACTAATTGTATCTAGAGAAATGCAAACAGAAGGAAAATACCCTGTAATCTTACAGTAAAACACAAGTCTGTTATAAAATCTTCACCATTTTCTGAGAGTCTTTCTTAAGAAAGACCATTACACTTGACATGTGGTTAAATGAGATTTGACATTAAACAAATGCACGAGACATACACACAAATGTGTGTACACATGCATGCATGCACACACACGCACAGAGTGTCATTTACAGAAAAATGTCTCCATCCCTTCCAGGTACCTTGAATTATAGAAGGCTTCATTGTCACACAATCACATTGAAACTATTGTCTCCATTGGCAAAGAATATATTTTATTTGTATTTATTCAGTCTCTGCTTGCTTAGTTACACTATAGTCCTTTTAATTTGCTGTTTCCCCCCATTTTTACTCCAGAAGCAAAATATGAGAGCTTGGATCTGAAAAGGTCAGTAACTACTTCTTGTCCTGTTCAGCAAATAAAACCTTTCAAAACCAGAACACACACACACACACACAAAGATAAATGTTTTCTGTTAATTGATAGCTATTTAGCAGTTGCTAAGTGTCTTTTGCTGGAGGTTCTGGAGGCAGAGTAAAAGAAAAATGTAGTAAGCTAGGGATGGAGGAAAGAAATAAGCTTTCCATAACAATTACAATTAACGTGCATACTATTACATTTTGCAGTACGGGCTGTTATTTTGTTTTGGTTTGTGTTTTACTATGATACACAGCTTCAAAAACCTACTGTTGATAATAAAAGAGTTCTGCACCCGTTGTTTTTTCTTTTTTTCTGTCTGAAAAACTTCAGCTTTTTTATTACATTAACTCTTGTATTTCTATTATTCTTTACATAGCACTACAGATGCTCATGGGACCTAGATACTCAACCTCGGTCAAGTGTAGTTGGTGTCACTCCAGGGTGCACAGTGGGCCTCAGCCTGATGAAATGGCTTCCTGGGATGTGCTTGATGCAAAGGGAATCTCCAGCTGCAGGAATGGAATAATTTCCATTTTCTCCTCAAAGTATTTATGGTGGAAGTAGTGGCCAAAGAGGTATAACACAGAGCACTATTACCCCTATTAGCCATTCTCCCTCTCTTTATTTCTTCCTTGCTTGCTTGCTTTCTTCCTTTCTTCCACTCTCTGCTTGGGCTAGCACCACATACTGCTGACCCAGAACTCAGGGAGTAAGTGATTACCTGGGAAGGGATGTGTCTGTGAGTCTGTTGTACACGGTCTCCAAACTTCTGTGGGGCTGGGAGTTTTGAGGTGAAATGTTGAGGAGGAGAGGTGATTTTGGAAGGTGAGAACAGAATGATGTAAAGATCAGCACAACAAAAAGCTAGGTACACGTATCAGAGAATGACACAAAAAAAGGGCCCAGACTGAGGTGCTGAAGACTCCCATCCCCAAAATAGGATAACCTGGGCAGTGATGGAACTGTCTGCAAAGAAAGCCAGAGATTTCTCCCCTTGTTTTCTGACAAGATATACTGAAAAATATGTTGAATTTGGGACCCGATTTTGAATGTAGTCTGAATGTGAAATGGCCTATTTTCAGCCTTGATAAATGTCTTGAGAATCATGATATAATGTATAAAGATCCTAAAATATATATCTCAGTCCTGTAACCGTTTACACAAGTGCTGTTCTTTATGTGCTGCAGATAGTCCTACTGATTCAACAGGACACTTCCCAGTGCAGAAATCCAAGGAGTGGCAGGACTAGGTCTCCATGTATCCTCAGCTGGGAGTGAAGCACAACATTTGTTCTCTTTGCCGTTGTCCTCCTTTGGTGACAGGGGTCCATCAAGCCACCTGCACAA